TATGTACTTAATAAAGTGACAATAGAATAGGGTAGTCATGGTTACAGATATTACTGGTTTTACAGTGTTGGATGTGGCACTGTTGGGATTTTATTCACACCATCATTTTGCTATTATTTGCAATTATTATAATTATTATTATGCAAATTATATTTGTCAAATGAAAAAGTGTTGCGGTCATGAAAATCAAGGCGCTGTACAGCACTGCACATACCCGGTCCCCCACTTAAGTTTACCGAGGGTTAGTTAACATCATGAGATACACCTGTGTTCGCCCCTACTATTACACCTCTGTGACAAAGGCCTATTGGAAGAGATTAATGATGGCTAACATAAACCTGTCCTGCACACGATCATTTTTCATTGAACAGAAGTGACAACTACAGCACACTTGAATAGGTTAATAAGCAAGTTGAAAGGCTGTCTGTGTGAGCCACGGGTGAGACCAGGGCGTCTAGTAGCTTCAGGAACACCACTAAGTCCCTGTGGAACACCACAGGGACTTACCTGGAACTTTGACTGTGGCCTCCACACCTTCCGTCTTGTCATCACGGGCGACCGGGTGGTAGAAGGTGTAGATGAGGTCACACTGTGAGAGATCAGAAGGGACCGTTTAAATTAAAAAAAACTTTGGGGGATTGGGGCTGCTAGCAAGAGGTGGAGCCAATCACACACCACACAGGCTCTCCAGAGATCGCCCACTCTCTCACCACTTATTCTCCCAGTAATCGAACAATTGTTGGAGCATGCGTGGAGCTGGAGCCAGTTCAGTACTCAGTATTTGATATTTTTACACCACTGATGTATGGGTGGGTGGGTGTCTCAAGAATTTCTTTGGCCAAGATGAATTTGCGTTATAGTGCTCATATCAAAAATAAAAGGACTTTCTTAGTTTAAGTGTCTAGTTAGTCAGTTTAGGGTCAGTGGTCAACCCCCGACCACTGACTCCACGCCCCTCACCTGGGTGACCTCCGTGGAGCTCCTCAGCAGGTTGTGGACATAGTTGTTGAGCTCCAGCTTCCTTTTGGACGCCACCTCCTTGATGTGCGTGCGGCCCAGCACCATTTTGTTGGGGAAGCTACAGAGAGAACAGAGAGAGAGACAGATGGAGAGAAACAGCGCAGGGACATTAACATCACAAAACTCCCTGGTGCTTTCAGAGAACCAAGGAGTCGGTCCACACCGAGGGAAGGCTGATGTGGGTAATGGGGGGTCTACAATGGAGTTAGTTTGTAGAGGCTATTGAAATAGGCTCCTCTTATGTTTCAGTCTGGGTTGAATCATAGCTGTTGAATCAGCTTCTCTAAAATGAAACTCATAGAGCTTCTGACACTGACCTCCATGTTATTCCACGTATTAAAACAATCTGGCGAGTTAGCATCCACTTGCATGCTGCACCAACCAAGTTAACCTTTTTAAAAAAAGACTGTTTACTTAGATAATTGTGTACTTAGTGTTCTAAGATTTTATCCTCTTTGTCCACGGTCATGCTAAGACTTAAATAACTAGAAGCTTGGAGATGCAGTAACATAAAACCAGGTGCCATTTTTAAGGGTAAGCATCTTTGTATGTCTCTCCCTCTTATGTTTGTACTTCTGTAATCTGATTGGATACACTTTGATGCACAAGGTCAGCGACCAGTAAACAATGGAGTAAGAAGATCATGTGACTATTTTTACACTGCTCACCAACCCAGGTGGTGTGGCGAGGTGAGGGGTTTGTGGTCTCACCTGGGCAGCTTCCAGAGGGGGAAGAGGATGGTGAGCTTGCTGTGGAGCTCCTGGAACTCGTCAAAAGTGCGAAAAACAAACTGGGGCTCGCTCTGTCCCTCTCTCAGGAGCCTCACCACATAGGTCTGGAGGAAGAGACAGAGCATGAAAACACAGAGCGCAAACTGCCTTTCCCCTTATTACTTGAGTTTTCTATTTCCTGCTCTAAAATCAGAGATGAAAGCTAGTTTAACTGCATGTGCCTGATGACTTGAAAATGCACAACCCTTGCATGGAAACATTGACAGTACATACAGTATAGTGCTGTTATTATTCCTAAATGGTGATGGTCAGTTTGTACAGAAAACAGCCTTTAGCATGCTGTGTGTTGTATTTGTTCATGAATATCATGAAATTAAAGTTTAGTCTTTGAATCACCACACAAATTAGCTGTCTGTTGTTCTATTGATTTGATTGAAATATTGATAATGTAAAGTCCTGAGTTTACTTTGATTATTGTTAAATATTGATCATTTAATGTCCTGAGCATGAGCACAGTCACTTGATCTTATAGGATAGCAATATGTGCCTCTCGGCTAAATGTAGGCTCTAAAAGGGAAATATTTGAATTTGATTTGTATTACTCTACTAGGGATGTTCCTAGCAACTAATTTCCCTGACGTTTAAATGACGTAAACGACTAGTCAACTAGTCTCAAAGTAAAAAAAACACACATTTGAATCTATAAGGCCGCACGTTGCCTGAAAAAATGGGTATATTATAACAGCCATTAAAAATGCATACGGTAATCACGTTTTTCAATAAACAAATAAATGCACTGAAAAGTGGGCCACTTGCATTATGACCATTGCACATTATGAGACAAAACATGACAACTCACTGAATATAATAAAAGTTAGCCAATAACGTAGTATTGAAATATAGATAACAATATTCAACGTAACAAAAAAAGGCTGAAAAGTGTGACATTTTGCAACATGCATTATTGCAGTCGGCTCTCATAGTGAATGTGTTCCGCACATCGCACCAGCTGAACTGTTAGAGGGGGCAAAACATTTTGGAAGCTTAGGAAGTTTAAATCTAAATAATCACCCAAAGTGCCATGGTTTCTTTACTGTGAAACGGACTGAATTGATTGACATTTCAACAATGTGCCTCCGGCTAGAACAGCTCAATCCTTCAGCGGGAGTTCAATCCTTCAGTGGGAGCACAAGCTTGTTCATACAAGTGATGAAAAGACCAACTGATCGCAAACAGCAGCGCACCTGACATGACGGCAGTTACTGGGGGTGAAGAGCACTGTTGAGAATTGTGAATTGGATTAAATGATTTTTGGGGAACTACACATTGTTAAACATTGGTTAATTAGGCCTTTTAACACTAGAACCGCCAGAGCCGACGTCATTGGGCGTTTTTAAATTAAAAAATGTAAATTACTCTGTCATTGTTATTGCTATGGTTTCCTTCCTGCCCTGACTTTTCCTAAATACCTATTCTGCATACGCATACATCGTCTTAATGGTAGAATAATGTTTAGAAAACCAATTAAACAGGTTTTTGGTGTTGTTTTTCACAAAAACACCCCCCTTCAACCGCCAGGAGCAGCGGCGATTAGAGTTAGTACTCTCCTCCCCCCTCTCCCCGCAGCTGAATGGATGCATTTGCATGATTGCCGTACAGCGCATTGAGACAATGAATGGGACATAGAAACTCATTTGCACGCCAATATTCATTCACATGCACTGATAATCACTTATAATCACACTAAAATATGTAGACCCACAGTATTCATCCTTTCATATCAGAAATGGAAGTGAAACTAATCACACTTTTTGTCGAACTATACAAGTTGTGTCCCATGTGTGCACTAAACACATACTATCAGAAATGTTATTTATGTAAAGCGACTCATTTGAACAAAATACTATTGTTTCTAAATGTTATTATTTTTATAAGTTGGTGTGGATGTGTGTTGACTGTTGAACTGAAAGACGCACTGCACACAAGAGAGATTGGGAGACAAATATAAAGGCTGAGGGGACTTATTGTCGTTGTTTCGTTAGACAAAATGTGATAATGTAATAGTCTGCACCATCATTTGAGATTGAGAACCAATAGCTGGGTTGGTGTTTTTTCATGAAAAAACATGAAAAAACACCAACCTAGAGCGTCAGTGTCCTTTCAGCAAAAGGATACTGACGCTCTTGGGCGTGGGACTTGGCGGTTATAGGACCCCTAAAGTGTCTGCCGTGTGTTAAAAGCACCGTCTAATTCTTATATGCATATATGCTTATATTTATATCATAGTGCATGTTGTGCTTCCGCGGTTAAAGGCTTATTGGCAGAAATGCTTTTCTCAGAGAGAAAAAAAAGCATTTAACCTATTACTATTTCTGGTGCCGACTACCAAGAGCAGTAACGACTCGTCGTTCAGTCGACTAGTCATGCACATCCCTATACTCTACCTATCCATAGTTTTGAACCAAAACAATAAATTACTGGATTGACTGTTTGACTACTTTACGTAATATTATTCTAATAGCACTTTCTTTGATTTCCATTTTTTTATGTTCAGTTGAGAGCACACTGGTTTGGTCCGATTTCACTGATAAAACCGATGCGGCACAAGAGTATTTTACATTTCCAGTTTCAGATTTTCTAAATTTCACTGTCTGATACGCGCACCAATATAACAGCTTATAAGTGTGAAATTAGGCTCTTTCCATTCTTCTGAGCTTAGCAGCACAAGAATCTAACTTTCTTTTAGTTAGTATGGGCTTTCCTGCATTTACATATGTCCGTGTGACATCAGAAGGTCAGGCAATGGCACCACCACCAGTGCATGATGCAGCACTGTACTGCGAAGGAGCATATTTGCTGCTAGAATACTAAATCAATGCTTTGGAGAAGTGTGATGCACAAAAAAACACCTAGTTAGTCATGGGTAATCATTCACAGGAAAAACATGATTTTGAGGGGTCTTCAAGACTGTGTGGAGCTTACGTAATGCTTGTCGGGGCTGTATCTCTTCTGGAAGGAGAAGATGGAGGCCTGCAGGATGCGGCCGTCTTGTTTGAGGCTGTACGTCCGTGGGGAGAAGCTCAGGATGGGCTCATCATTGGCTGGCAGGCCTGAGAAGCGCAGCTGGGCAAGGTTGTGGATGAAGAAATTGAACTTGGTGGCGATGCTGCCCAGGCTCGACTCAATCAGCCTGCCCAGGAGGGGGAGGGGGAGAGAGAGAGGGAGAGAGAGAGGGGGAGAGAGCATGGGTGGCAGTTCCCCAGTAGGAATTAAACCTCTAACCCTGGCAGTATTAATGCCATGCTCTGACCAGTTGAGCTAGACATTTGACCCAGTCAAATCTATTTCTTTAGATGTTTTCCAGTCAACAAACACATAGAACAGGATCTTTGAGATCCTAAAGTCCATGTAAAGCAAATCCTGAGATTTTTTTCTAAACACAGAAAGTCATTGCTGACAACATGTGAAAACACTGTAGAACCATGTAGTGTTGAATTGCGGAGTTAGACCTTTTTTCTGTTTTTCACCATTTTTGAGTTCAGGATTTTCTAACAACCAGAGCGCAGGTGCGTCACTGCTTGTCATGCTCAATTGCTCAATTGTGACAGTTTTGAGGCTCCGCCTCTCAACTACGTGAATAGGTGCGTGAATGCGTGTGGTTTGGCGCCTTCAGCGGACACGCCCCCAGCGACTCAGAGCAGAGAATAATATTTATTTTTTCACGATTTTGAAACCTAATTTTATATACATGGCGACTTTTTTAATCATTCAAATTTGGCCAGTTGGTTAATAACCCGTACCTGTATAATTCAAAACCACAACAATTCAATAATTCAAGCTGATGCCCAATTTAGGACCTGAAGATTGGAAAAGAACTGAAAAGTGGTCAGAAAAAGAGAGAACACAATAAGAAATTGAAGAAAGGAGAACAGAGAGAGAGAGAGAGAGAGAAATAGTACTAGAAGATAAAAGTGACTAGAACAGTGGGTACCCCCATTTGAGAACCCCCAGAGGCGCGGGAAGATGTTTTCGGCAGGGGGTGCTGTGGGTGGGGGGGGGGGAGGTGCTGGCGGAGCAATTCGGTAGCGCGATTGTTGAGCGGGGGGGGGGGGGGGGGGGGGGGGGTGCTGGCGGAGCAATTCAGTAGCGCGATTGTTGAGCGGGGGGGGGGGGGTGCTGGCGGAGCAATTCGGTAGCGCGATTGTTGAGCGGGGGGGGGGGGGGGGGACAAAAATGTTAACTTCATCCCACATCGCAAACATGACATACACAATTTAAAGAACGGAAAACAACAAAAGATAAGCCTTCCTTTTATTTTCATATCAGTTTTAAAGCGTCACCCCCACTTCCCGCGCCTATGTGTACGCCTGGGGGTACTTGAAGGCACTCCAGGGGGTACGTGAGAAAAAAAAATGGTATAGCCTATTTAAAAATAGCATTAATTCAAAAAATATTATTTAATAAATATGTAAATAAAATTTGAGTTGAAAGTTGAAGTTCATAAACATAATTTTATATTCAAAAGGTTATTCAATTTCATTACCCTAAAAACCCAGAGTCTCCCCCGTACCAGGATGTTATGACCCAACCTGGCATGCACCACATATTATCAACTGTCAGTCGCTGTTGCCTTGACAACTTTTACTCCTTTTTTTCAACAAAAATTCTTTGCGCTGTTTAGGGGGTACTTGCCTGAAAAAATATTTCACAGGGGGTACATCACTGAAAAAAGGTTGAGAACCACTGGACTAGAAGGCATGGACAGCAGTGCTTTCATGAATATGCATGAGAAAATTATAATAATTGGACAAAAATAGCCTTTTTCCACATAAATGGTTCAACGTTTAATGAATATGCCATAAGAAATTGTGTCTTCTTATCCACCCTCAGAAAATGATGATGGCACAATCAAAAAAATATTAGCATGTATAACGATGATCTTATGGAAAATCCCCACACTGTCTAATCTCAATTGCGCCCAAAGTGGCCTATCTTCCTATTAAGAGTTCTCAACGGGCCTGAAAATTCAAGCCCGATCCGAACCAAGCTGAGCCGAGCCTGTGGGAGCGAGTCCATGACCGGCCCGAACCGAAAAGGCCCGGTTGTCGGAAAAGGCAAAACGCGCTCTGCAATCAGGACCTTGCCAGAACAGCTGATGGCACACAGAGTGAGAGAAGTGCGTGACAGTGATGAAAGTTACTTATTGCTGAACTGCTTCAACAGATTTCATTTACGGCTACAACATGTTTCGCTATGTGTCTTTGGTCTATAATAAGCATGCACCAATTTGGCCAAATAAGCTGAATAAAAAGGTAACCAAACGGAATAAAAAGAGAACCTCCTAACAGTGGGCTTATAGAGTTTAAGAACCAAAGTAGTGGACACTGGACTTACAGGCAACAGTAGCTAAACCAGCCAGCTGTGGTGAGAGCGCGGAGTGTAGTGGGGAGAGATGAGAGATACAGTGCTGCACTGCACTAACATATAATATATGTATGTATTTTCTTATATTGATGAAAAAAGTATTTTTGCAGCCCGAGGCCCATCCCTAATCCAAAAGCACAATTTACTGCCCGGCCCAAGCGCGATAGTCTTGTCAGGCTTGAGAACTCTACTTCCAATTAGAACATATTTTATATAACTTACCTGGTAAAGAAGATGGTGGCCTCTGCGTCAGTGTTGTGGGGCTGCAGAGCATCAAATACGTACTTCAGGTCCTGAGAACCACTCAGCTCTGGCAGGCCAGAGGAGGTCATCTGACACATACACAAGAAAAACACACACACACACTGACTAAAAACACACATTCAGTACAGCACATATACTGATGCCAGCTGACAGGCACATGTGTACGAGGTAGATTGAGCATACACATACACATTCTCTTAATGTACACCTTTGGTTCTCAACACAAGACAATGTAATACGGGATCCTGGTGCAAAACACACCACTGAGGCCCCCTGAACCACAATCGTTTTCTAAATTGTATCAAACATAGGCTATATAACACTATGCATTGTATGCACAACACAGCCCCAGTAGCAACTATCAGTCTTTGAATGTGGCTCATACCATGTTCAATACGTCAACCTAGATTTAATTGCCTTTGTACTATGCACGTTCACACAAAAATAACAATTGAAGTAGAATTATCACGCATTTCATTGAACCATATGCATTTTTAAACTGCTCAACTAATCACATTATTAAGATTTCACTGCTAATTGAATTATTACATTGATCATTCATTTACCACTTTCTAAAGTACCTTGACCGTGATCTATATTATCAATATATTCTCCCATTAGGCTTGCCATTTGGCATCGAAGTCTGGTGGCCTACCAGTGCATTACAATGTGTTTAAATTGCATGCAACAACTTAAACACATTTTGAAGGAGGCCGCACCGGCCCAGTGCACTACCATGCATTAAAATATATTATATTTAGCAATTTTATAAATTCCGCTTTATGGGCAAGTATTTTGCTAATGGCTACAAATCATTAGGCAGCCTAGTTGTATATATGGGACCTTTTTTAAGAGGACATTTCAAATTTTAAATAAAAAGTGCACCATCAAATATTTATCCCTTATGCATATGGGGTGACTTATATGGGGTGACTTATATCAGGTGGCCCTACGTAGGGTCCTAACCACTGCTGTACACTGTATGTGTATGCATGTGTACGTGCGTGCATGTGTATGTCATGCCTGACCAGGGAGAGTAGGTTGAGGAAGAGGCCAGAGTGCTTGCGTATCAGGTTGTAGGCCTGCGAGCACAGGTCCACAAACAGCTGGAAACGGCTAGTTGGCCGCTCACCACCGTTGATCACATACGCCATGTCGGAGGTCAGGACGAAGGGGGCACGGTCTCTGAAGAGGGAAAGAGGGGATTCAGATACATCCGACACCTCATGGACAAGTCCTCCCCCTCCGTCTACAAAGATTTATTAAAAGAGTCCATTCATGCTATGTTAGTCCAGCATCTGTCATTCGGATATACAGAAAGAAAGAACTACATGCTGCTACTAATGGTCTCTCCATTCTCATTTTCCCTCGTATTGTCACCGACACGCTCAATGTACACATTCGTGGCACATTCAGGCATACTCTCCTACACATTGCATCATCCATCAATTTAGTAGTTGCAGTCACTCTTGAATCAATGTTTCTTTGCTTGGTTGTATTTAGCCTTTCAAAAAAAATGTTTTGTTGGTTGCTAGTGCCCAGTGACTCACGCTGGCCCTGTGGTTCGACTGCCTCGGATAAGGATGCCAACAAGCTACAAGCCTCACCTCTTAAAGCTTCCGAACATCTGCGCATGACCCAGGAACTTCCCAAAGTCGATGTGGAACATGTGACCGGTAGAGCGCAACATGATGTTGTCATTGTGGCGGTCGCAGATGCCAAGCACGTAGGTGGCCACGCAGCACCCCGCACACGAGTAGATGAAGTTCTCTGATGCCTGGAGAAAGAGAGAACCATGTTATTGGTTTGATCTACTTTGTACTGAATCCAATTGTACAAGGACGATAGGACCGATGGAAATTAACTGTACTATGATTTGGTTTGTATGTATTCGCATGCACACATGTATGAGTGTGCGTAATGTAATGCATGTATGTATTTGTACATATGTGTAAGTGCAAAAATAACCAATTAGTGGCACTGTGCCACCATGCTCTTTCAAAATAGGGCTACCGTGACGCAACAATTTAGTTGGGTAGTTTAATTGGGTGACTAATATTTTTTTCCATTTAACTTCCAAGAGGGTCAATCAGTTAAAACTCAGGTTTTATTTGAACACTTCAAAAAGCAAAACTACAATGTCAGTAGGCCTAAGTGCTATGCGGTGGAAGTTAGTGGCTTTCGAAATCACTCATTGGACCAAGTCAGACTGGGTTACGGTAGAGCTTCAACGCAGTGGCGTAACTATCGATGGTGCAACCCCCCCCCCCCGTCAACAATCGCACAGCACCCCCCCCCCCCCCCCCCCCCGTCAACAATCGCGCTGCACCCCCGACCCCCCCCCCCCGTATTTGCACCAGGGCCTATCACCATGATGTTACGCCACTGCTTCAACGTAAGTTCTAATCTTAACATCCAGCTTCGAACGTATGGGGGTTCTTCAAATTATCATAAAACAAAAAAGGTGGTTTGTACATTGTGCAAAGTTACAATGAAATTGCACAGCAGCACTAGCACTGTGTGCAACTTGTAACTTGAGTCTATTACCTAATTACCAACCTGTTATAATTAGTAGGTGGAGCTTTTTAATATATTTTGCCCTCATTTTAACATTGAAATAGCTGCTAAATACGTA